CTTCATGTGGTATCCCTAAGAGCCCCAAAAGAGGCAAATGCATTCTGTCCAGCAAACTGCTGTTGTCATTCCAATTCAAGGACATTCCACATAACTAGTTTTAATGAATTGTTCTGCCTGGTCAGGCTGCAGCCAGAGGTTTATTCTTATGGCCCAGTGCACCATGTCTCTGGGATCACTGTTTTCTGAGAAAAAGATGCTCCATTGTGTCCCAAGAATGGGTGTTGAGAACTGAGTAAATATCTTAGAATCAGAGGAATGCTCTGCTTTGCATAAATCTGAACTTTGGAGGTTAACCACCTATTCATTCATTCATCAATAAGCATGTATACTTTGTAACCAATAGGATTTATGTCTTCATTTAAATAAAAGAGACCGTTTAGCACACAGTATCATCCTACCTTCCTTTGTTCCGACCTCCACTCTGACAGAGGCACAAGTCCCTCAACTTTTAATTGTTCAAAATCCAAACTTCCAGGGAACCTGAGAGTGACTCCTGCATATCTGTGGGAACATTTGGGAAGCTTACTCTAAGGACAACTTGCAGCAGCGTACCCTGGGGGCTGGTGAAGCATGCTAAATCCTGAGCCCCATCCTCAGAAACACTGATCTAGTAGGTAGGAGTGGAGCCCAGAAATGTGCATTTTAACTGCAGGTGAATATCACACCTGTTAAAGTTATGAAATGATTCACTTCCCAATGCAAACAATTTTATCACCCAATTTAGAACACCTAGAAAGTTGAGTAATTATTCTAGAGCAGTGGTTTTCAAACTTTAGCAGGCATCAGATCAGCTGAAGGGCTTGTTAAAATACAGGCTGCTGAGCCTTACTTACAGAGCTTCAGATTCAATGCCTCTAAAGAGGAGCCCAAGAATTTGTTTTCTTTGAAGTTCGCAAGAAATGCTGATGCTTCTGATCCTGGATCTACACTTTGAAAATTGTGGATCTAAACATACTCCCTTGTGCAAATGCAAAAGCAAACACTTTCCAAACTGTAAGGTATCTTATTAAAAGGGTTAACCAAATTAAATATATTCCTTTGCTGCCTGAGATCTCCATTCATCTTACTAGCACGTATTATTAATTCCAAGTGGGGAGATAACATGCAGTATTTCTCAAACATATTTTACTATAGAACTCTTTTCTTAGGGATAATCCTGGAAAACTGTTTGAGAAAAGCCTAATATAGCACCATGACAAATTAGTGCATCCAGGAAACTTGGACTTTCCCATTTTTTTATAGAAGAATGTTTATTTAGAAAGTTACATAAGTAGTAGAAAGGCTCTTGGAGCTTAGGAGAAAGAGGGAGAGAGATACTCGTTTTGATGGACAAAAGAGGTAGGAGAGGTGCAGGTATGCTCCAGAAAAGAGGGGGGGGGGAACATGCTGGACTTTCTCATTTCCATCCAGACCTTATCTCTTGAAACCCGCCTCCCCTCCCATGACAATGCTAGGGGAATCTGAGAGCATGGGAGAGGGAGATGCATTGTCCAAAATTCAAATTGGTGGGTCTAAACCACTTTTTTCTTGTTCCACAAAACTAAATTATAACTGTATCTTGGTGTAAATAATGTTTTTGTATTTTATATACTTTATATACTTCATGAGAGCCAGTAAGAGCCACATTTTAACTATATTAGAAAGTATATTAGTAGTCATTGAGGTATATAAAAAATACATAGGTTAAGAGGTTATTTCCTACCATACTCCCATAAGGAGATAAAATACATATATAAATAACCATAGTGTGAAACAATTACAGTAAGTGTAAAAAGAGAGCTGTAAGCAAAGTGCCCTTAAATTAGGGGCCACTTGCATTAATCTTATTTGAGTGGTTAACAATCAGCAACTCCACTAGAGAAAAGAAATATGGTTCCGGTTGACAGAATTTTCCCTTACTAAAGGTAGCTGCCCTCCACTGCAATGTGAGCAGACTGATGGATGAATCTCATAACACAGTTCTTCCAAAACTTGTTTTAAGACTCACCTAAAACACTTATGGAAAATAGATGCCCAGGGCCCCCTGCTTACCAAATAAATCAGAATCTCTAGTAGAGGAGCCTGAAAACCTGTGTTTTTTATAACTACCTCAGATGCCCTAATTTTACTGTTGCTTAAGAGAAACTGGGTTTTCTTTAAGTATCTTTGGGGACGGAGCTTCATCATTCATTCATTCATTCAATTAGCAAATATCTATTGAGTTCATGTAGCATGCAAGACCAGATTTATCTTGATCTATGTCATTAATTTTTATTCACAGCACCGTTACATTCATTTTTAGCTAAAAAAAAAAAAAAACTTGTTTAGTAAATATATATGTTTTTAACAATGCTGTTCATATAGTACTACCACTACTTATAGGAAAGCAAATGCCCCAACAATATTCATTGCCCCATACATGCTTAAAATATAAAGGATATAGGATTTAAAATAAATATAGAAATACATATACCAAAAGCTGTTTTCTTAAAAATTCTACTTTCCAACTTAGCAATTTTGGCTACATTTCCTGTGTTCTATAATCCTGCCTTCTTGTGGGAGGAAGGAAATGCTTTGGGAAGGCAGAGAGGAAGGTAAAAACGAATTACTAAAAAGCTTGTTTGTTTGAAGATGTTGTTTAAAAAGAGATCTCCACACTGTGGTATATGCTGTGACTTAGGGAAGTATTGATTCCATCAATAATGATAATGATGAGCTTAAATTCCAGTTAATAATTACTTGTTTGTTATTTAAATGAATTTTTGTATAATTCATATAATTCTCATGTAAGAGCCTCAATAATGGAAATGAAATAGACAACTGAAAAATAGAAAACAAATAGTAATAATTAAATATTTAGCCCTGACCATGTAACTCGGTTGGTTCGAGTGTCATCCTGATACACCAAAGGTTGAGGATTCAATCCCCAGTCAGGGCACATACAAATCACCAATGAATGAATAAATAAGCGGGACAACAAAGCAGTGCCTCTCTCCCTCTCTCCCCCTTCCCCTCTCTCTAAAATCAATAAACCTGATGTCACACAAAAGTTGGACTTCTACAGGTAGGATATAAACTGATTAATTTCTTTGGCCTAGGAAAAAAGTAAAATAATATAATTGTTTTAATTCTTTAGTTATTTGAAATAATTCTGTTTCTTAGCGAATCATTTAAACTTCTCAGAATTAGTTTTTTTTGTTTGTTTGATTTTTTAATATATCTTTATTGATTTCAGAGAGAGGAAAGGCGGGGGAGAGAGAAAGATTAGAGACATCAATGATGAGAGAGTCACTGATCAACTGCAGCCCGCAACCCGGGACCTGTGCCCTGTCTAGGAATCGAACCCCGATCGCCTGGATCCTAGGTCGATGCTCAGCCGCTAAGCCACGGCCTGCTGGGCTCTCAGAATCAGTTTTTTATCTGTAAATGGAGATGACAATAATGACCAAATACAGTAATTACGAAGATAAAGTACCCAGTACAGTGTAGTAGATGCTTGCTAAATATTAGTTCTCTCAGTGCTAAGTGCTAATATTCAATTTCTCTGTTAAAAAAGAATTAAAAGCTCTCCCATAATTTTTTCTTTTTTATATCTAAAGATATGAACCAAGTTTTTTAAAGTAAAAACTTGCNGAATTAAAATCTCTCCCATAATTTTTTCTTTTTTATATCTAAAGATATGAACCAAGTTTTTTAAAGTAAAAACTTGCGAAAGACTCAACAGACTCAGCCAAACCAGAGAAAGGACACAATTTCATGCTATAAACTTCAGGCAAGTTTCCTTCCTGGCAGGCAAGGAAACAGGTGATTCTTGATCCCAGGAGAGCAGGCTTTGGACTCTGTCCCCAGAGCCCACATGGGAGAAGCAGAAAAATGCTGAAAAGTGTCACCAATATTCCTATAGTGAGACCACGAAACTAAACTACCCTGAAACGTGTGAGTTCAGAAAAAATGCACTACTTTGTTCTCATTCGTGAGCGTCCACTTGAGCTAACTAAACGTCCAGTCGTATTTAAACCGTAGTCTAATCCGATGCTTTAGTTGCTGTATATATCAGGGTTTCATGTAAAAAACAGAACCCATGCTAAGTATGGCAAACAGAAATTGGATAATTCCAAAATTTTCAGAAGGGCTAGACGAGTGGGCGCCAGCAAGGCCCCCGCTGGTGCCGTTAAATCCAAGGGCACGCCACCGCAGCCGCAACCCAGAGCCCGACAGCCGCTGCCCCTCCCGCCGGCTCAGCTGCCTCTGGGCACCCAGGGGGCTGGCAACACCGAAACCCCTGTCGTGCTACAGCTGCCTCTCAGCGTGATGTCTCTGTTTTAGGCATAGCTGCAGGAAAATGACTCCTACCTCTCTTCTACCAACCAAAATATGTGGGAGTGCACCCCAAACCCTGGCTGTAAGGGCGATGTGAAATATTACAAGCTTCTCAGCCTCTGCTCTACAGGGACACGCCAGGGAAGGGGGTGTTGCATGGCGATGGAGTGAGTCAGTCTGTACTATCCACTGCGGGTTGGCTGCAGCTAATACAATGGCCATGTCTCTCAAAATCTATCCGTTTGGTGACTTAACATCTATATTCATTTGCCTCTCAACTCATGCTGTTTTCTTTCTTTTTTAATTTATCATCACCATCTATCCACGTTAATACATCTGCAGCATCAGTCTTCATATTGAAGATAGAGGGAATCATAATTAACATGCCAGGAACTGTGTGTCATGTTTCAGTATATCTAAAGTACCGTTTCTTAAAGTGTGGTCCAAACCCTACTTGCAGAAGAATCCCCCAGACAGCCTGTTAAAAATGGAGACTAGGAGACTCGTCTCAGACACATAACATCAGGATCTGTAGAAGTGGGGCCCAGAAATTCACATTTGTAATAAGCTCCCAGATAATGTTCATCTCACTAAAGTTTGAGAATCTCTCATTATTTTTAAGTGAGAATCTTTTTTCCTCAACACACCAGAATATTTCTGTTTTCTTGAACTTTTCTGCTCTCTGATTTTTATTTTAGGAGACACCAATGGATGGATTTTCCAAATTGAGAAATATTTTGTCAGTTACAACAGAACGGCCTTTCCATATCTCTTTGGGCCAGAAACACCAAAATGCTGTAAGTAATCAGAGGAGTTGAGTCTCCTTTTCCATGAGTTCATAAGACACGATGTCTTTAAAAGTTGAATCCAACATTTAAAAAAAGTTAGTTATAATTTTCCTGTTGCAAACTCTATTAGACATGCAGTCTTAATTTGCGAATTTTATATAAAAATGACTCAGGGATCTTAAGTGTAAAAGTAGTAACTCATGCTAGATATTGTAAACAAAATTACTGTCAGTCAAGGTTGCCACTTTATATGTCTGCTTTTTACATTCACTATGAACTCTGATATAAAGGAAACTGTGAAAATAGAAGATTTTAATGCTTGTAAGTGGAAAATCTTCTGANGAAATGCTATAGAAACATAAGGAAATGCAAGGAGAGGGCTGATAGTGTCTTTTTTTTCCATTGGATTTACAAAAAAAAAAAAAAAAAAGCCTTATGAATTATAACCTGCCATGTTTAATGATATATCAAAAACTTATAGCCCAGCCGGCGTGGCTAAGTGGTTGAGTGTCGACCTAGGAACCAAGAGGTCACAATTCAATTCCCAGTCAGGGCACCTGCCTGAGTTTCAGGCTCAATCCCCAGTCGGGGGCGTGCAGGAGGCAGCCGATCAATGACTCTCTCATCATTGATGTTTCTATCTCTCTCCCTCGCCCTTCCTCTCTCTAAAATCAATAAAACTATGTATTTTTTTTAAATACAGAGGTAATTTTTTATCAGTACTTAGTAAAGAACAAATATATAATTTTAATTAGGTTTCTTAAAGACAATTCAAGGGGTGGTGGTAATAAGTAAATATCTTTTTGGAACTTAAAAGCAAGCAATGTAAAATGAGATAGAAAGTATGGTGTAAAATTTGGAAGTGATACTTGAATTAAGGTTCCTATCGTGCCACCGAATCAGATTATTATAAGGATTTATTGGAAATTAAACTGAGGATGGCTTATAATCATTTTTGGCTGAATGAAAGAATGTAAGGAATTCACATTTATAAAGTCACCTCTCGAGAATAGTGTCACAAAAAATATATTTACCATTAACTAATATATTAATAAAATTTTAATTTGAGGGATTTGGAAANGTATTAATAAAATTTTAATTTAAGGGATTTGGAAAGTACAGAGATTTGAGAGAATTTTTTACTCAACCATAATTTCATTAACTAGCTGGTGCATTGCTCATTCTTTTTTATTTTAACATAGTTGAAATTTCCTGTACAAACCATTTTATCATATTTTCAATTAGCATTTTAGCATAATCTAAAAGTGTAACAATATACTTATATTATTATAAGCATATAATATGTTATATGTTATAAACTTTTTAAAGCGTACTATAACATATTTTCAAGTGACGTAATTTACTAATTTTTCTTTTGTTGTTGGATATTTAGGTGCATGTATTTTTGCGAGGTTTTTTCCCTATTATAGGTAATCAACATTTATGGGTTATATTAACTCACCTTCTAGAAATAGAAAAAACACACTGGAATTAAAGCTAATCTAACTGCCCTTCTTACTCTCACTCCCAGGACCTTCATCTTCCTGCGAAATCCTCACCATTCCTTCCCCACAACATAAACACACTCACATTGGAATCGCTTTTACGTGAAGAGAGAGAATCAGTTTTCAGAGGCCCATAACCAAAACAGTTATTTAACACTATAAAACTGTTTAAAAGTCCTTGGCAGGGACTCTGTTTACAAAAAACACAAAACCCAAGTTATGATCTTGATCTCTTGTGATCTTGTAAAGGTGTCTGCAGAGTTATTTGGGAGGAGAGGAATAACACCTGTCACCCCAGATCTGAGCAAAGGAGAAACGTTACTATTTCAAAGGCTGCAGCCAGCTGTGTTCCTGAGCAGTCAGTCACCCACCAGTTTTGTAACAGGAATGCCTACTTTATTGTTAAGACACATTTCTAGGCTCTGAAAGCTTTACTGTAGAAGTCAAAACTGAAGCCTGCAAGCAGGAAATTCTCATAGAAAGTTTTGTTTTTCCTATGATCTTTTAAAATGTTAGCTGTTATCATTTTTAAAATAGATAATTATATAGAAAACATTGTATTTCTGGCATCTTGGAGGAAGTTGGTTGATTTGGCTACACATGTTCTTTCCTAATATGGCAACAGCAGGAGAAGCTGTTCCACTAGGACATCTGGACATAGTCTGCACCTATTTTGTCTGTTCTCTGTAGACACTTGAGTCTGTAACCTGTTCAGGGCTTCACAGTAAATGTAGAGGGGGAGCACTCCTCATTGCTACTCCTCATTGCTCAGTAACTGTCTACTCCTCATAGAAGCAGGAATCAGACTGTATTTATTATGCCTCATAATAATCCCATGTTGCTGTTTAGCTATATGAACACAGTAATACAAGTCTCACATAGGCTTTAGAATTATTGCATCACATCACTCTAGCCCCACATGATGGCCGAAGGCATATATCCCATTCTCTCTCTTCCAACACCCATTAATAAGAATAGAATAGCTTTGTGTAAAAAAATGTTCATTTCCATAAATGATGTTTTAGACATCCTTACATCCCTACAAAGCCAAAAGATCACTTTCAAATCTTTGAAAAACCCCTGAAATTTTAAGAAGAAAAAAAAAATCTACCAACACTATAGCTCAGTGATTAGTTCTCTGGCTTCATGATAGTTAAAAGTGATTTAGCCCTCCATTAAAGTTTTGATGATGCTATCAGTAAATACTTTATTCTTAAGTAGCAGCTTTAATGTGGACACTACAGCCCATCACACACTATCATATCACCCTCAGACAAAGCTTCTCTCCCAAGGTGAGTAAGAGCAGATCACTCTGTTCATTTGCAAAAAATGGAGAATGCAGTCTGCTATTTAAATCTGTGTATTTTCATACCTTAATGTTCTAGCACCATTTAATGTTAAATTAAAAACAAACTTCGGAACCTTAATTTAAAGCACTGCCCGAATTGCTTAGGTAAGACATGAAATACTTTGCACTAAATAATTTTCATAGCTTTTTATTCCTTTCTTTTCATGACCCTCCTTTCCCTGGTCCCTCACTGTCCTCATGCCTTAATTTCTCCTCGTTATTCAGCAGTCGGTTCTGTGCCCAGGAAATGTGTTTGCCAAGGTTTACAGCTGGACTGCAATGAAGCCAAATTACGAGCTGTTCCATCAGTTTCTTCAAATGTGACTTCAATGTAAGTAGAAAAGAATGACTTCATCCTGACAGCTGAAACAGCACCTGTAAAAAACTGTGTCATGATTAAGGCCTTGTCATTATTGATAATGCATTTTTACTCAAAAATAATGTCATTGCTCCATGGTCGATTATGATTACTGATACTTATTTTGCATTTATTAAATGCTACCCCCATTCTAAATTATTCCATATATTAACTTACTTAGTCCCTCATAACAATACTATAAGTAGTGTCACCATATTTCATCTAAACAAAAGAGGCCATCAATTGTATGGGCTAATAAAGAAAAAAAGCTGCCAATTAAACTATTATACAGAACTTCCTTATTTTATCATGGAAGTTATCCTTTTTACTTGACACATGTTGAAAGAGCTCTTTCAGACTTTATTGAACATAAATTTTAATACTCTCTTATGTATAGTCTTTTTAAAAAGTAAAATAGATTGGAGTAAATATTTCCAGAACTCTACATTTAAAATCTAACTCTTCTGAATCACATTTGCCTCGGAGATATTGGTGTTGGATTTTTTCTTAAGTAACTCAAACTTATATATGTAAAAAAAAAATCCTCATAATAAGCAGTTTGTTGATCCAGTACAAATCTGAATTCAGTGAACTTCAGCAACATAAATACACACATTTAGCTGAAACTTTTTAAAATAAATCAATGAAAAATAGTTATTTTAATCCAGTACTTTTGCTGAGGTTTTTTTGTTTTCGTCCGGATGTCTTATGGCTCTGACTTTTGGGTACAAGGAAAAAATAAGAGTAATTCTTAAATTTGTAAATGGTGGCAAGTCCTGCCTTTTTTAACCCAGACCACATAACCTAGCAGATCATATGCTTGGTGTATATAAGGGATGGGGAATAGCTATGAGGCTAGTGGTACCATTAAATTAATAGAAACTTGGGGGTTTATCCAAGTGATAGTCACCTGAGGACTTTACCAAATTGATAACGAGCTGAGAGCATCACGCAGGTTAAGCCACAGAGACTTATCCAAAGGAGGCCACATCTCCACCTAAACTAAGGATAGCACCCTATCCTATCCTCAATTCACCAAAGCTCTTTTGTATAGTAATTAGTCTTACTAGAAAAATAATAATGATCCCCTCCCCACAAAATCTGAGATCCTATGGAGAGTTTCCATGATTTAAATTCTGACTGGAACTGCTGGGTATAAAAATGTATGATGATTTCATTCTATATTCAAAGAAAAAAAGTATTACCCCACCTGCTTATATCAAATTACTAGAAAATTCAAATCAAAGAATATCTTGATGTTTTTATTTTTCCACAAATAAAATTTCATTTCATTCTTAAGCAATTCAGCTAATCTTTGTAAAAGAGAAACAGAAGGAGAGAGCTGGAGGAATGGAGGAAGATAAGGCAATGACTAACTAGAAAGTACATGTCCCACCTAAAGGTATTCTGATTCAGTAATAAAAAATAAAAAGCTCTTCTGGCTCAATATACATACGTACATACATATGTACATATATACATTCATTCATACGTACACACACAGATACATACATAAAGAGACGTGTGCAGACATTTGAGCCACCACCTTTCAACCCTTGGAAAAAACTGGGATCATGAATGATTGGCTACAGAAAGGTGAGGGTAAAGGAGGGGTCCAGGACTACTGTAAGAGTGTTTTTTCACTCCCTAAGAACAATTTTTACTCCATTTGAACTTTAATAGCCCTGTTGAGAATGCATGATCTTCTAGACTCTGGAACAGTGTTTCTCAAATTAGCTTCCAAAAATGTGTTCTGGGGAGTCTGAGAAATTGTGGTTTTTTTTAAGAAGGACTCATTACCAAGTGTTAGCAACACTGGGCAGCACTGGTCCAAAACAGCATAACAGTGTTGTTAGTGCCTATTTATTACACTGTCTTAACCTGAGTCCTTTATGTCATTCAAGTATTTCCAAGTGTTTATCCCACTGGTCAACAGACAGACAACTTATAATGAGCATCTGCCCCATCATCTTATATAATGTTAGTAATAATAATAGCATCATATTATGAGAGGTAATCTAGTCCAAATCCATTTTTTTACAATTAAAGAAAAAGACTGACATGGAAAGATTATGTATGATTAATGCAAGGGATCCCAGCTGCAATGGTTTGGGGGTTTTTTGCTTGTTTTATTTTGTTACTAGTATATTACATTGCTTTTCTTAAAAAAAAAATTTAAAGGTTTGGGTCCTTTTCAATACTATCACAATTAAAGTGGACCTGGTCTTTGTCAAGCTGCTTTTCAAATTGTGATACAAGGCAAAATCTTCCCATATAATTTATTAGAAATTGAAATGGATCACTTATTGAATAAAGACAGTTCATTTGTATGTAGCAATTTACAGTTTTCTTCACAACTTATTTTAAAAGGAAGTAAAGGTAGTGGAATTTAAGCAATGAAATATTGAAAAGAATATAAAGTTATTTAAGTTCTTGAATATGTTTTAAAAAGAAACACTATTTTTATTATCACTCAAAAATTGAGATTCTTTCTAATGTTTGTTAAATAAAAATAGAAAAGGAGAACATAATTAAGAGTTATTTTGTCAGTGTTATTATTTTAAATTTTTTCTTCAAAATTATAGTGCTGTAATCTAATTTAAGAAAAAATAATCTTTAATTAATATAAAATCAACAGTTAGACCTAGTTTAAATGATACTATGAATATGAGCATAGCATCATGAAACAAAATGTTTCCAAAGCTGCTGCTAAAGTAAATAAAGTTTATAATTATCCATATTGTCATAGTTTTAAAATAAAGAAAAACAAACTTCAAGTAAGAATCAAAATTTACCTTTATTTTCAGGTCGCTTCAGAAGAACTTAATAAGAAAACTTCCTCCTAATGCCTTCAAGAAGTACCATGATCTTCGGAGACTGTAAGAAAATTTTTAATTCCTGGTATTAAAATTAATTACCATTTTTTGGCATCTCTGTTTCTTCCCACTTCTGTGAACACCAGCCCTGTACCACTGCTTAAATCTAATCCCTCTTTGGGGATTTATTTAGCTGCTAGTTTAAGACTACCAGATAACTTTTTTTCAGTAGTTCTACAAGCCATTCTAGAAAAATCTTAGATAGCTATCCTCAAAGAAACTAGAGAATGTGTGCCTTAAATCTCCCTGCCATACTCTGCCATAATGAGGATCGTCAGGAGGCTTTACTCTCTGCACTATTTAACAATGGATCACTCAACACACACCTTAAAGAAAGATGGTGCGAAGAACTGTTACCAGATCTGTAGTCAAGATTAGATAGTGGAGAGTTTTCTCCCGGGGGTTTGCAATCTCATTCTCCACCTAAGAGAGCAAGTCCTTGTGGTTTGAAATCACTGAGCATATTGTTTTGGGGACTTAATTCCATTTTCACATCTGCCTTGCAGGTTGAGTTTTATTTGGGCCCCAAGTAGTATGTGACATGTTAGCTTCTCTTTAGTTTAAGTGGACTTTAGGGTGATATATGTATTCTCAAAACCCAAGGTGGCCCAGGTGATGTTTACAGATCATTTAGGTCAACATGTAAGCAAACCATATTGTCCTATGCTTGTGTTTATATATTTTGTGCCTGAATCATACTATCTAGAAATCATCTCAGAATTTCTAGTTTCATTCTCATACCTGTACTAGTTTTGGGTTTTTTTTCTAAATATGTTTTTATTGGTTTTAGAAAGAGAGGAAGGGAGAAGGAGAGAGAGAGAAACATTGCCCTCCAGCATGCCCCCCACCAGGGATCAAGCCCACAACCTGGGCAAGTGTCCTCACCAGGAATCGGACCAGCAACCTTTTGGTGCACAGGAGGCGCCCAGCCAACTGAGCCACTCCAGCCAGGCCTACCTGTATTGGTTTTAGTTTGGGTTTTACACCAGAGAAACCCGGGGTGTGTGTGTGTGTGTGTGTGTGTGTGTGTGTGTGTGTGTGTGTGTGTGTGTGTGTGTGTTTAAGATAACAGAAATAAAACAGAATCAGAAGAAGCAAAATGAATCCTCTTCAATGAAATGTTCTTAAAACCCAGATAATCTGCAAAAAAGTATATTTGATATTTGAAAATAAAAATTCCAATAAAAATGACTTTTTAGAACTTTATTCTGGACATTTATCAATCAACAGAACAGAGCTTTTCAAAATTATGCCTAATACAAAACTTTAAGATGATACTTTCTTATGTATCTTCTGGTTTCTGTAATACAGAGAATTTTTCTGATCTTTAGCACCACCTTATGTCCACATGTTTAAAAGAAGTTAGGACTTCAAATTTAAATATCAAAATTCAGGTTTATATAACTCAGTAGTTTAGGATTTTTAAATGATGAACATTAAATTAATTCATGAACAACCCATTTGTTCCAAATAATAAAAGATCAAATAGCCTAATTAAAAAAAAATCTAATTGGTTATTAGATGTGTAGCTTGGCTCAGCCTCCAGGAAATATACGCTACTGCTTGCTCATTACAATAGTTAGAAACAAATAAATAAGTACATGTTAAAGTCTTTCTATATATTAGTGACAAAGATGCATTCTCTACTATGTGATTGGGCCACAACATGTTATGTGAAATTCCCAAATGCATAATAAAGTTAATAATAACATTTTGCAATCAAACTTAGGTTTTCTTGAATGTTGGAAGAAATGAGGAATCTCTTTTAGTCAAAATTTCTAATTAACTGAGAGTTTTTTCATATTGGTTTCTCCCTTATTGTACACACACACACACACACACACACACACACACACACACACACACACACATACAGATTACTCTAAAAGACAATGGTAACTGGCACTTAGAGCAAGAACTGAGACTTGGAGCCCTTCCGTGGTCATTCGCCACCACCTGGGGCCATAGAAGTGCAGCGCCTCCCTTGGTGAACATGATGCAATTGCTTGTGTTCTGGGACCTATTTCCTTTGACCTCCAGCTAACTCCCGGTCAGGCTTCCAGTGTGACTTGAGTTACTTAACTGTGTAAGCCTACGTTTTTGTCCTGACATGCCTATCTAATTTATATTCTTCTGGTCCTGATTCTTTTTATTTTCATTTTTCTCTTCGTCATGTATACTCCTTATAAGTTTCCTCAAACATTTGGTGGGGGTGGCAAGATTTGGGGTGTTTAATTTAATTAATAAAATTAAAGTTGACTCACTTAGCAGATTTTTTATTAACATGGAATATGTCCCGGGGCGTTAAAGATGTCACATACTTATACTTTTGCGAGCACTGTGGCACACACCAAGTTTGAAGAATTACAGAAGGAAATGCTAAAAAGTCTGACTTCAGGGCCTGTTTTATTAGTGATTAAAGTTTCATTCCCAGATATTAACTTTTAGCTATTACCTCTTTTACCTTTATAACTAGTATTTCTAAGTAAAAGCTAGCCTAATCATGCCTGAATTTAATAGCAAAACAAAGTTGCATGATATCTAGCTTCACGAAATTATTTCATTATGTTTACCTTTTTAAATTTAAAAAAAAATTAATTGTGGTAAAATACATGTAACATAAATGTACCATCTTAACCATTTTTAAGTGTACATTCGGAGGCATTAACTGCTTCACCTCGTTGTTACCATCACCACCATTCAGCCACAGAACTCTTTTCATCCTGTAAAACTGAAAGTCTGTTTCATTGTTTTCCTTTTTTAAAATTTATTTATTAATTTTTACTATTAAGACAGTTTTAGATTTACAGAAAAATTATGAGGATAGTACAGAGAGTACTCACAGACCCCTTAGTCGGTTTCCCTGGTTATTAACTCTTCTATTGTTACAGCATATTTGTTACAATTAATGAATGTAGATAGCATCATCATTATCATTGTTTTCCTTTTAATAATTTTCACAGGTTCCTGCAAAACAATAAGATTAGATCCATATCCATCCATTCTTTCAGAGGACTGTACAATCTTACTAAACTGTAAGTACCAATTACTTTGCCCATTCCACAGCATTTGTGAGCCTGACCCATTCCGGTCCATACCAGCCCTCCTGCATGCAACAGTGCCTGGGAGATCCGCAGAGCTGAAGGGCACATAGCACTGTGGCTAAGAGCGTGGCATTCTGAGTCGCACAGGCTTTCGAGTCCTGACTTCATCACTCAGGTGTGTAAACCTGAGCAATTTATTTTCCTTCCTGAGCATCAATTGCCTCTACTGCAAGATATAAATTATAACAGTACCTGCCTCAAGTTTGTTGTGAGGAACAAATGAAAAAGTGTATGGGAAGAATTAGGCACACTGTGCCCAGCACATAAGAACTATTACTACATAATACATTAGTCATGGTGACAGGAATAACGATTGAATGAACTTAATCAAAATAAGAAAGCCTGCCCTGCCGAGCGTGGCTCAGCAGTTGAGCGTCGACCTAGGATCCAGGCGATCGGGGTTCGATTCCTGGTCAGGGCACATGCCCGGGTTGCGGGCTAGGCAGCCGATCAATGACTCTCTCATCATTGATGTTTCAATCTCTCTCTCTCTCCCTCGCCTTTCCTCTCTCTGAAATCAATAAAGATATATTTTTTTAAAAAAATAATAAGAAAGCCTAACGATAATTAAAATTTATAAAGGAGAAAACCCAAAGACTTCCACAGTTATTCTTTTTCTACTAATCCTGCTTTTATGAATATATAAAGCACTGTAAGGTTGAAAGAGTAAAACTGTTTAAAACTGTAGTAAATATACTAACATAGAATTTAGCATTTTGACCATTTTAAGTGTACAGTTCAGTGGCATAGTCGACATTCACATCCTTGTACAACCATCACCACCATCCATCTCCAGAACTTTTCCATCTTCAAGTAAAACTCTGTACCCATTAAGCAGTAACTCACCACTCCCCCACCCCTCAACCCTGAAGACCACCATTCTACTTTCTGTCTCTATAAATCTGACTACTCTAGGGTACCCCATATAGGAGGAATCATATAGACTGTTTGTCCTTTTGTATCAGGTTTATTTTACATAGCACAATGTCTTCAAGGTTCATCCATGTTGCAACATGTGTCAGAATTTCCTTCCTTTTTCAAGGCTAAGTAATGTTTCATTGTATGTATATACCACATTTTGTTTATCCGTTCACCCATCAATAGACATTTGGGTTGTTTCCGCCTTTTGTCTATTGTGAATGCTGCTGCTGCGAACATGGGTACGCAAATATTTGTTTGAGTCCTTGGTTTCAGTTCTTTTGGATAATACCCAGGAGTGGATTTGCTGGGTCATAAGGTAATTCTATGTTTGATTTTTTTAAGAAACTTCCATACTGTTTTCCACTGTTTCTGCACCGTTTGACAGTCCCACCAGCAAAGCACAAGGGCTTCAATTCCTCCAAATCTTCATCAACTTGTTATTTTCTGGGTTCTTGTTGGTGTTTGGGTTGTTCTTGTTTTCTATAACCACTATCCTAATGGGTATATCATGGTAAAGGGCAAAGCTTTTTAAAATAGTCTTTCTCAAAGTTCCATTTCATCGACTTTTACCAAGCAGCTGAACCTAACATCCCCAAAGAAGTTATTGAATAGAAACGTAACCAAAAAAACCTCACATGAATAAATAAGTCTCTGTATTTTCACCTCTGCCCCCTTGCTTTCTATCTTAACCCAAGAAACTCTTTCCAGTGAGATTCCTAGCTTGTGGTGTCAGAGTTGGGATTGAAGACCACCTAATCATTTTACAAACGAAACGAAAGAAACCACTAGAGACTCAAAGCCTTCACAGTAATCACGTCCACCATGTTCTCTTCTCTACTATCCCACCCCTGCTCTTCCCTGTCTTAGCAAGTTAGCCAAAGTCAATATTGGACTCATTCTTACCAGGCTCCTCACTATCTTTCTGTCCAACCTATGATTGTTCAAAACTTACTGAACAGCATCTTCTTGGTTTAATTTTCCATGGGTGTGGAAGGTGATACAGACCTGGAAAGTAAATTTAAAAGTGTTCTCCATCTCTTTCCATGGTTGTTTTTCATAGAACTGGAATATTGTTTGGGTACTAAAGATGTCACAGATTTCTAATTTTTCATAGATAATCATTAGATACCTGCTTTTCATTCATCCATAAATATTCACCAGCCCTTATAGTGTGCAAGTTCTTCAGCAAGACACCGGGGGGAGGGGGGTCGAGAGAAAGATAAGTCAGACCAGCTTCCTTCCAGCTGCTTGCACATCAGTGTTTCAGGTAGAGCATTGTACTACCACTGGGGAGAGGTGGACCTCTCGCTCTCCAGAAGCTTATAGTCTTGAGCGGAGAAACAATACCAGAATACACCCAGCAAGAGAGAATGCTAAAAAAGGTTACTTAAGTCCTAAACCTATGTCGTTCAGACCACAACTGCTGCATATTATGATTCAGTGAAAGGACTGACCATTTTGGGTCCAGAGCAGTGAGAAGTGGCTCTGAAGAGGACTGGGCTAAACAGATGAACACAGAGTACATGGGTGGATCATATGTCTTTATCTGGGGGATTCCCATTCATCTTTTTTGGTTTTTTTAAAATATATCTTTATTGATTTCAGAGAGAGGAAAGGAGAGGGAGAGAGAGACAAGAATATCAATGATGAGAGAGTCATTGATTGAGCCAGCAACCCGGGCATGTGCCCTGACCAGGAATCGAACCCCTATCACCTGGATCCCAGGTCAGCACTCAGCCGCTGAGCCAAGCCCTGCCGGGCCCCATTGACTTTTAAGGGAGCCCCTTGAGGTCTTCAGGGGAAGTGCAGAAGCTATTCTTTACCTCTTCTTGAGCCCACCTGAGGCTCCAGGTTTGCAAGGGAAGGAAGGAAGGAAGTGATTCTAATATGGGCCATCATTCCTTACTACCCCTGAGCAAATATCAAATTTGGTGAGGGAAGGGGAGATTCCTGACAGGAGAAATTTTACAGGATGTCAACTTAAGATCTGTCGGAGTGGAAAAAAGAGAGAAATCAGTGTGGTCCATGATCAGTGGAAGTGAAACTTGAACTAATGCTTGTACATGGATCATAGGCAGAGAGGGAAAAGAGGAGGAAAGAAATTGAAGTGGGAGGCATGGACGGAAACGCTGTTATAATAAATAATGTGTACTGAGTACTGTGTACTGAGTGCTGATGACATGCATTGCCGCAAATGTTACAACAACCCCAAAAAGTAGGTACTAATATTATCTCCATTTTAGAGGTGGAGAAACAGAGGCTTTCAGAAGTTACTTGCTTGCTTAAGGTCACACTATAAATAAGTAACAAAACTAGGAATCAGACTGTCTGGCAGCAGATTCAGAGCATTGAATTGCTGCACTAAAGAGACTGAGCTAGAAATAAACATGGCAAGAGGAGGAGATCAACGTAGAAGTGAGGGGGTTAACTCTGTAAAAGAGTGAGAAGTTGGGTAGGTAAGGCAGGGTCAAACTCTTTAGCAAGGTATGCAGTGTCCTTTTCACCAGAACAGAGACCCCTGTCTGCCTCCCAGCTCCATGGTGATCCCTTAACTTGTCACTCTCTACTTCTTGCTTTTGCATAAATGACCTCCTCCAGCCAGTGTAACTCCTACCCATTCTTTGCTTTGAGAACGACATGTCTTCATCCAAGATGCTCCTCAGTTGCGCCTCCTTCAGTAAAGCCTTCCTGCTTCCTCGCTCCTTCACGCTCCCCCTTCCCCCCCAGCAAAGCCAGGGGCCTCCTCCTCACTGTCAGAGCAACTGTACATCCTGCACTTCTCTCTTTTCCCTGCATTGCTATAATAACCTGTTTACATGCTGTCTCTCCTCTAGACTCAAGGCCCCTCAAAGAAATAAATGGTCTACGTAGCATAATGCCATAGAGTAGGTGCTCAAAACAATTTGATGAATAGATGAGTGAATACATGACTGATTGGTTTATTGATTGATTATGAGGGAATGAAAAGCTAGACATACAAACGTAAATGATAAAGAACTTTTAGAGCTCCAAAGGCAGGAAATGGCATGATGAGGAGAGTATATAAGAAAACTTAAGATGTATGATTATTGTTTTTCATTTCCTTATTGTAAGATATCAGGAATATAAAATTTACTGTAGTCATTTCTCCTTTTTCAGGTATCTTAGTCATAACAGAATAACCTTCTTGAAGCCTGGTGTTTTTGAAGATCTCCACAAACTAGAATGGCTGTATGTTTAATTTATGTGGCATTTTACAGTATTAGTTTCTATGTTCTAAAAATATATGTGAATTAATTTTCTTTTCTTCTGGCTGGCAGGGTAATTGAGGATAATCACCTCAGTCGAGTTTCCCCACTAACATTTTATGGACTAAATTCTCTTATGCTCTTGTAAGTACTAAAATTAAAGCCAATATTTTCATTAAAAGAAAGCACTTGATTAAAAATTACTGCTTTAAGTTTAACAGCATTAAATTTGGAATTATTAAAACACTTAAAAGGCTTTTCAGCTAAAAACCATTTCTTAATTATAGTTTATAAGGCTATTTTATAGTTCTAACAATTTTTATAAGATCTTCTGTCTTCTACAGCGTCAGCCCATCAAAACTGAATACAGCTTCATGGTGATATATTATTAGAATATTCTTAAGCACGCCATTACTATGCTATATTAATCTTGGTTAAGAAAAAATAACATTCATTTAAGGTCACCCCCTTTTCACTGCCCACTATTGAAGGGCACGGGCTTTTTTTCAGTTACTAACATTCCTCCATATGACAAATATTATTTGTCAAATTTTACCACTAACAAGCACTTAAATATAAAACACTTACAGAAAAAAAATAGAGAAGACAACTAACTTAATAGATTTTCATGGTTTTATGGTTTTCATAATAATACCATGTTTGACTTAAGTTTAAAAAAAACACACCTAGAAAAATGTGACTTTTAAAATTTCCTTTCTCTTTCAGGGAGCTGATGAATAATGCCCTCACCCATTTGCCTGACAAACCTCTTTGCCAGCACATGCCCAGACTGCACTGGCTGTAAGTGCTGTGTCTTTTCTTAAAGAAGTCAGCTTACTTTTCTAGTTTTGCCTAGTTTGTTTCGATACTATTTTTTGTAAAATGATGTTGCTAATATCATATCACACTTTCTCAAATTACTTTAGCATGATTATGTTATCAAACATCCCCATTATCTAAACTAACTCCTCTAAACTCTCACCAAAATAAAACATCTTTAAAAAAAATAAATCTTGGAGGCAGAAGGAAGACAGAAAGAATGTCCCAGTATCTATATAACATCTCCCCCTTTTCCCTGTTGATCTACTCACCTATTTATTAATTTGGTACAAAAAGACTAAAGTTTCTAAATTCTGCATAATGGGAATAGGATACTTAGAATTTAATTTTGAAGTCTAATCACAATAGAATATGTTCCATGAAATTTGTTACAGAATAGCTTTGCTTGTGGTACTAAGTGTCACTCCACTATTCAGAACTCAATTACCCTGTAAATTCGCCTATTTAAAATACAGGTAAAATGAAGAATTAATTAACCAAAATAACTATTAAAAAGTTTGATCAATAAATGGCATATGCAGTATCATATGAAAACTCCCTTTTTCTTATTGTGTAGGAAATTCTCAAAATTTTCATTGTTTAATTTCTAAGCCCACAGTAGATGAAAAATACCAAATTAAAAGTAGGGGGAAGTTAGAATAAGAAACGTTGATTTTTGTGAGAAATGACAGCTATCAACCTGATAATAGAGCTGGAATTAGAAGTATTATAAAAAGCAGACATAGTAATTCAAAGCATACTATTTTGGAACCATTTAGGGGAAAGCAGATATCTCAGAAATCATTACTTAGTCCAGAAGGCATCTTGATATTGTCATTGTAGAAAAGGAAAATTAAGTTTAATATCCTTTGTTGTAATTAAAGTTTGGTTCAGATGAATACATTAATAGTGATTCGTGCTCAGTAATCCAAACTTACTCTTAAAGCACAATTGATTAATATTTACAAAAGTAAATTATCAATGAAAAAGGCATGCACTGAGACCAGAAGTAAATGTGGGAGCAGTTAAGGAAACCAGAGTCCTCTTTGGTGGCACATGGGCACAAAACCCCACCTTCTTCTCTTGACTTCCCTTTTATGAAGCAAAAGCTTTAAGCCACTGGGAGAGGGACAGAAAATTATCCTGCAGCCAGGGACCAGGCATAGACCCACTGCTTCCAAAGGAAAGGTAGAGGGGAAAGCCCTCTGGTCCAGGAGAGGGCAGAAAACCCTCTCCAGCCCAGGACCTGTGCTGCTGCAGAGCAGTTGGTAGTGCTCACATCTCTTGGAACTTGTGGGGCAGAGGGGCCAGCAATGCTGAGACAGCCCCATCCCTAAAAGAACAAGAGAAAAATCCTTTGCCAAATTATAAAGCAATCAACAGAACCAGACCCAGAGATAACTCAGATGTTCCAACTCCCAAACAGGAAAATGAAAATACTTATAATTAATAGTTAAATGAAATAGTGGAAAAGGTAGACAATATACAGACCTGCTTTATTTGGAACAACAATGTGCCCAGCTAAAGAACTCCCTTCTCAAACGTCCCTGCATCTAGATCTATGTGATTAAGCCCTGAGTAAGGAGGCTGAAGAAGTTTGGTGTGGCACTTCTGGGAAGCCCCCTTCAAGAGAGAAAGGCAGGCCCTTCTTTCCCTTCCTTGTCCAGAGCAAATGGGTACTGCGGCTGAGCTTCAGCAGTATCTTGGACCATGAAGACCAGGACACATGAACAGTGAATGTGAAAGATCTGGGTTTCTAACAACTATGTAAAACTACCATACTAGTCCTGGGTGGCCTAATTCTAGATACTTTTTTTCTTGAAAAAAAATTCCTTATGTAGTTATGCTGTTATAGTTGGGTCTCTGTTATATGTATCTGCACCTAATCCTAATAGATATAAAACTGCAAACAAAGAATGCCCAATGAACATTCACCGAAACTGACCATATATTTTAGGACATACACATACACAAACCAAACTCAAGAAAACAGATGGAGGGATTAGCCTAAAGCAGGAGAAGGGTCATCTCTTCCTCTGAGACTAGAAGGAGACCAGGTGCATTTACAGGTAAGTCTATAGATGTCTGGCAGAAAGTCAAGGGCTTTTCCCTCCTTGATCACCTCAGTTTTTTCTGTGAAATAGAAGCCAGAAATGTTTAAAAGGTTGGGAGGAGGTAGCGGTTAAGGAGGTTTGCGTGGTTGGAATGCCACCAAGGTGTAAGAGAGAAAGTTGAGAAGGAACAGGCAAGATTATTGATGCTTTTGTTTTTTATTCTTGTTCTGCGGATTAAAGAACCAAATTTTTATTTTTGGCAAGTTCTGCCATGTATAAAGAGAAAAATTAAGTGGTTAGGTTCAGAGGCTCATCAAGTTGGAAAAGTGGTCTAGACATGAAGTCAAACAAACAAATGAACAAACAAACCAAAACACACACAACCTTTTCATCTCCCTGAGAGCTTGGAGCTGAGCAACAGGACACCAATTTGGATGCTTCAACTAACATGTATGCTGCAAACCAGATCCCTGCCTGTCAAGGACCAAAGCCTCTAATTTCAGGAAGAAAGCCAAAGCAAACTTACAATTCAAGGTTAAAATAAACTTAAAATTAAATAAAACTAACAGTGTAATCAAAAGTCCCTAACTTATGCCTCATTGTGTATGTCCCACTGATTTTTCAAATTAATAAATAATACTAACTTAAATATAAAGACTAGCTTAATAGGGAAAAAATTTTTTTTCATAAATAGCTAACAAGAATAGAGTACCGAAGGATATTTTGTGAGGCTGAAGAGAGCATCACCACCTGGTGGTAGATTCATGGAAACAGCAATAAAATAGTAAAAGGAAATGGACAGTCTCTGTCATTAACTTACATTATGAGAGGCCAAAAGCCTTGGCCAAACCTAATGACCAAAAACAGGAGCACTGTAAGTGCTTTGTTTCCAGTTAAATAGAATAATAGAAGTTTCTCTTTAAAGGGATGTCCTAGAATATTGTATTCCGGAAATCCTTTCTACAAAATCCTTGAATTATGGTATACTGCCTCTGTTAAATGTTTATGACAAGAAGCTGCTTCTCTGGACACCATAGATTGTGAGCTTAAATTTAAAATGGCTTGTGTCCTTCAACCAGTAAATCTCATTTTGCAACCTGATGCAACATAGAAAGACCTTATGTGTTCTGTAGCCTCACTTCAAATATCTCTCTCTTGTTTTGCTCTTCTCTGTTATAAATACATGTTTTTCTCCAATTGACTTGATTTGTAGACCCCCTTACACCCAGGTCTGCCAGATATACTTTGATTTGTCAACATGCATTTTTTTATTGCCCAAAATAAAACTGACTCTCCCAGATGGAGCCTAGCCAGCAGAATATCGGCACTTCCACCAGTGCTACTCGTTCATCCCTTAGGGATTTTAGTAGCTGTGTCACACTTCAGCTCATATATTTGAGTCGCAGTTACTCCTGTAGGTCTGTGTTATATGGTGACCCGTAAACCCGGTGTTGGTAGAGACTGAGTAGATTTAAGGACCTGCACTTACTTTTGAAAGAATATCCCTAACCTCAGCTAACTCTGTTCTACAAACTTGCCCCATCAACCGAACAATAAAAGAGGGGCAACAAACGAATACCTTCATGACAACCAGAAGAAAATGATAAAGCAGAAACTTTCTGACAAATTTCCCTGCTCAGACCAGACGCCTAACGGTGACAGTCACATAGCAGGGGAGTTTAAGCAGGGTCTAGAGAGTGCCCCCAAAAATGTATACACACACTTTGAATAATTATAAAAGCAGTGTTTACTAAAATCCATTTCGTTTTCAAAATTGAGCTACTAGCTGTTAAAGTGTGTGTATACGTTTTTGGGGACACTGTGTATATGCAGGCCCTGAACTGGGAGTGGACAGCCAAGGACAGCCTGTGGGACTCCCTCTGCACTGGCCTGTGTGGCAATATAATAAAGCAAAAGGTTATTTACAGCAGTAAAGGCTAGGGAAATTTTTTTCCTGGGGAGTGTTTAGGCAAGGAGGTAGAGGCTCAGTATTGTTTCGGCAGTAGCAGCTTCTCCAGGCTGCAGCAAAACTGGGTCACACCACTTAGAGAAATGCCACTGGTAACTCAGATGCTTAATACAGTCCACTGTTAAATCTCTGCTCATAGTGTCTACCATAAAAAAACTTCAGTTTGACTTATTTTTTTTTCACATTTCTCAGTGTAACATATGGGTCCATATGAACACGTGACACAGATGTGGTGACTCAAACCACTTTTACTATTAACATCATAAAAGAAACGTTAATATATATAGATATTATTTCAGCTATTATGCAAATGGCTACATGTAAGAATCTATATAATATAAACAGCATGTGAAATAAGATTTTATTAGAAAGCAAATAATTCTCAACCAATTTATTTCTGTCTATGATTAAAATTTAGCTTTATCATCTTTTATCTTTATGTTTCAGGGACTTTGAAGGCAACCATATCCATAATTTAAGAAATTTGACTTTTATCTCCTGCAGTAGTTTAACTGTTTTGTAAGTAATGTTTTATTCTTTTCAAATAATGTTAGAACTCTTTACAAAGAAAATGAATCACTTCTGTGAACAGTAGCTAGCATAAGCATGCATAGTAATCATGGCAAATGTTCACTCTCAACTTGAAGTTTTTTGAAACTCAAGCACATTGGTAAAAATTACTGAAGTTCAAATTAAGGGTAACTACAGAGTCTCAATATACATAAATCATCACAATGGCACTGTATTATCTGAGGCCTGTAAAGCCCATTTTAATGAAAAGAAATTCTCATAGACCACCTAGAATCTGTTCTTGGACCTCAGTTTGAGAAACACTAAGTTAAAGTCGTAATCTATAAGAATGTTTGCTCTACAAATTATTACTGCAAAGATTGGGGAGGGGGATTAATTATAATCAAAATTTTAAAAAATACTGCAGAATGTTCACACCCCTGAGCATATAATTGTGTACACCAGGATAAAGCTTAGAATGTTACTGAGTATAGTTTATCCTGATGCCTTTTTGGCCTAGTTAGTTAGTTAGTTAGTTAGTTATATTTAGACTAGTCTTTTTCTTTATGTTTTTATTGATTTCAGAGAGGAAAAGCGAGAGGGAAAGATAAGAACATCAATGATGAGAGAGTTGATGGGCTGCCTCCTGCACGCCCCGGACTGGGGATTGAGCCCAAATGTGCCCTGACCAGGAATCAAACTGTGGTCTCCTGGTTCATGAGCTGACGCTCAACCATTGAGCCATGCTGGCCGGATGACCTGTGCTTGTTTTTAAAGAAACCTCTGCATTAAGAAGTTATTTATGTTTCCTCTTGGCAAGTACTTGTACTTTTCTGGTCCAGAGATATTGGAAGGAGGTGGTACTGGTTTGGAGTGCGGGGAGGAAATAAATACTTAAGGATGGGACAAGGCGAATTTCCAAGCATGTCACAGAATATTTAAAGAATTGAGTATCCTTTAATTTTTCTATGAGTTAGTCCTTTATGCCAGCTCATACACATGAGATCATGCAGAAATGAACTGTCAAGAGTTTCAGTCATTCAGCGTCCTAAACTAGAGCTCTAACTTGGTCCAACTTAGATTAGATTTCCTTAGGCAACTCCACCCTAAGTTACATCAACTACCAAATTTCTATGAGTGATATCGTTTGAGGGGTATTTTGTTAGACATGCTACAGCAGCTGAAGAAGCGACTCTGTGCTCCCCGTGCTCTCGGTTGTATTATATTCAGTCTGTCCTCAAGAGTTGAGATTTTTCACTATTTCCCTTGCAATACTCTTCCCTATTTCACTTTAAAATGTGTTTTATTTTTATTATTATTAAAATATTTGAATATTTAAAATTAAAATTATATTAACTTTTCATACTACTTCAAATATCTTGATATGAAAAGTGCACTATATATAATTACCTTTATTTTTACAGACTATTAATCTCCTCTCTAATAACTCAGTTATCAGTTGCCTCAAGATACTTCAATGTGTGTTTCTTATTACTTTCAGAGTAATGAAGAAAAATGAAATTAATGACCTAAAAGAAAATACTTTTGCACCTCTCCAGAAACTAGATGAATTGTAAGTTTGATTAAACATATAGTGATAGACAAAAATTTTTGTCCTACTCTTTTAGTTCATACTTGTTACACATATATGCTTTTATACATTAAGAAATATTTATTATCTCTTTTCCTAGCATAATTTATATATACCTCGAGCTACGAAGGAATTCTGATAGCGTATAAAAATGTGTGTTAAAGAAAAATATTAAATAGATATTTGAGGAAAGTGAGGTAAAGGAAACATAGATGCAGAGAAAGAATAAAATTAGAGTAAATTTAATAAATAAAATGCATCATATACCACTCTGTTCCACTGCTAGAGGGACAGCGAATTTGTCTTTAAGTTTCCTGAGGAGTTAGAATTCAGAGACCATTACGATAAAAAGACTTAACTTTGTTGATTCTGAAACCAAAAGATAATCTTTGATTCATAAAGAATTAAACACTTCTGTGGGTAACATCCTAACCTATAATAATGGCAGAGAGAGATAAATTGAGCTAGTTATTTATAGTATCACTATTTCGAAATCAATCACAGAATAGCAAAGGGCATGAAAGCACTCTCTGATAAACCAAGGCCTTGTGGTTTAAGCTCATAGGAACTGATCATCAGAATAAAATATATTGAGAACAATGGATGAAGTGCATGTCTGTCAGACACTTTTTTTATTTTTCAGTATAAATTTTTTCAGTTGGGTTTTTGCTGAAGCTGGAGCTTGCAACTAGTTTGATTTGTGTTTTCTGGAAAGAATATGAAGTGTAGATAGATCTACATGTTTTGACCATTAACTCAGCATAACATTAATTTATTAAAACTTTTTCATAAAAGTTAAAGAATATAACTAGAGTGTTTCTCTGGACACCTTACCTGTATTCTGCTCTAAAACATCAATAAACAAGCCACTGAAACCCTAACATTTTTTCCATAACCATTAGCCTGAAACATTTTTTTGTAGACAATACCAATCATTCACAAAATGTGCAAGAAAATCTCAATACATGAATATTAGAACCAAGCATCTTTTGTAACAACTCCTGGTATCTGGCAATGGAACTACATCTTCTGAACATAGGAAATTATTTTATTCTCAGTAGTGGGGAGAGGCTTGTGTAGTGATACAAAGGCATGATCGAGCTATTAAAATACAAGTTAATCAAGGGGTTCATATTGTTCCTTGTTTTATTCTTCATGCGACCACTTTCTGAATATAAGAAGGCAATTCTGTTAAATTCTAACCTTCATGGTGGCAGTAAGATTTTATGTGAGTATCAGTAACCAGCAGTGAACATGGAACACAAACAGTTTAGACCGTAACCAGTGCTAATTCAGGTTCAGAGATAAAGGAACAAACAATTGCTGGAGAGGGCAACCAAGGCCAATCATTAGTTCAGCCTAAAGCCCGCCTAATCCCATTTTAATCACTGGCCTGAACAATTAGATTTAGAAGGCTGAAAATGGCAATAGTTTTAAATGAATGGGTCTAGATTTAAAATAAGAAGATGACTCTCCTTTTCAGAGAGGGTTGCCCCTCCAGGCTTGATCACACCAACAGAGGTAATGAGGGTAAATAAATTGGCAACAGTCAGGTTTCGCTTGTCACAGTAGACCTTATGTAGTTCTGGTGGCAGAAAATATTTGCCACACACTTGATTTAATTTGTGCTTTTAAAAGCTAACTACTTTAGGTCAGCGATTTTCAACCTTTTTCATCTCGTGACACACATAAACTAATTACTAAAATTCTGTGGCACACCAAAGAGTATATTATATTTTTTGCCCATCTGACAAAAAAAAAATAGGTATAATTTTGATTCATTCACACCAGTTGGCTATTGTTGTATTGGCCTGTGTCATTTTTTTATTTGACAATCTAAGGGAAAAGAGGTCAGTGCCCCTAACTAAACAGTCAATTATTGCATGTTTTAAAAATTCTTGCGGCACACCAGTTNCTAAACAGTCAAGTATTGCATGTTTTAAAAATTCTTGCGGCACACCAGTTGAAAATTGCTACTCTACTCAGAAATGGTTCCCAAGTCCAGTCAAGTTAAGACCAACTTTCCTAAGCTGAAACTGGAAAAATAAAATGGTCCTTTTACATGTCACTTAGGATCCAGGCCAACAGTATCCCATTACATGATTTATGATGTAAGAGCTATATGTCAGAAATTGCTCTGATAGCCAGCACTCCCACCTGAAACTCTTGAACATAATATATGGAGTTTTAATATACTAATGGACTATACTAAATCTGTTCACATTGTGTAACTAACATATCCATATTTTACTTGGCTTCCCACACAGGGAACTGATACTGTGCCACCACCTTTACTTAAATATGAAGCAGATGGATTCAGTCTATTAATAGTCTTCTAAATGGGGGGAGAAAGAATAGCTAGTCTAACTATGTTGTACACCTGAACCTAATATAATATTATATGCCAACTATACATTGATAAAAATGTGGCTTTTTTTTTTTTTTTAAAGGAGAGCTGATTGGAAATTAAGCTAGATACTTGATAACCCAAGATGAATAAGTATAGTTCTTCTACCCAAGGAAGTCACATCTTTCAGAAAATGAGCATGCATGTTCAGAAACAGTTTTAATATCATGTTATATGTGCTCTATGTGTTATATGTGCTATGAAAGAAGTGTGCACAGGGAGTATACGGGAGAACAGAGGAGACAACACCTAACTTCTCCGGTCATGAAGGAGTGACCTTTTGGGGCAGAATCTGGAAGGATGACTAGGAGTTCACCAGAAGGACAAGAAGGAAAGCTTATTACAGGCAGAAGGAGGCACCCTTGCAAAATCATGGAGATTAGAACACTGAGGTGCATTCAGGCCGCAGGGTACGTCATTTTAACTGAATAAAAACGTTTAGAAAGCTAAACTAGAAAGATGGACAGTGGCAAGGTATTTAGATTTAGCTTTTTATGTCACACTAAGCAGTTTTAATTTTATCTTTTAGGCAACCGTGAATTATTGAGGGATTTTAAGAAAGGGATGAAATTTTAGACAGATTCCTTTGGTTGTCAAATCAGAACAATCTGTCTTCATAGACAATTCACGCATAAATATGTAAATAACAAAAATAGTCTCAAGGTTCAGTTTACAGCAAAGATATTTATAATATTCACTAAATTATATGGGCTATTTATTTTTAGTTTAAAAAAACTCAATCTAAAACTATCCTGCCCGTCAAAATTGGATAATCTAACTTTTGACTAATAAGAACTCAATTTACATAACAAAAGATCTATTCTCCTGCGTCTCCCAGTGGCAGCTAACAGTACATGGAATTGAATAGGGAAAGTGGATAGGCTTTCTCTTAGTATCTCTCAATCACATTGGAGAATGAATTCCAGACTATTGAAACATTAAGTATCTTGTTTAGAAGAATCTGAGAACTTTCTCAAGAGAGCTGCCACTGTCAAAGCTACCACAAGAGCTGCTACAGTCGAAAATCTTCTTACACTAAGCTACAAGGCCACACCATGTTAAGCAATCCAACCTCTATAATACATGAGGTAACACACAAAATATCCCACCCACGGAGTATACATAATCTAGTGTGTATCAGCTGTGAAAGAAACTTGCTCCTGAAAATCCACTTCAAATTCAAAATCATAATAAACCCAAGCAAAATAAAAAATTAAATCTCCAAATCATATTCTTACTCTAAT